CGAAAGAATACGATAAACGAGACATATTAAAATATTTCACAACGGAATGCTGTAAAGTTGTAGTATAGTGCTAGTACGGGAGGTAATCTAAAGTTTTATCGAACCATTGAACCCTTTGTTATTCTCCAAACTGGCTGCTTTAAACGAAAGGAGCAATATATCTCAAAGAGCTCTAACATCTAAAGTCTCGCATGAATTAATGAACGCGTTTTATTCGCCGAAAACACTAGTAACTGTCAACGGTGTACGTCAAAGGGGAATCATAAATTACGCGGGAAAGAAAGATGTTTCCCGCCTTATTGTTTTACGTGCCGCTCTGACTTATTGCTCCGCGGATATTGCCGTCTCGCTCGTGAACCAATTAGCCGAGACCAAAGAAACCGCTTCGGGAAAACGCGCCGAGTTAATATTATTAGTGACAAGGAGTTTTCGTTAATCGATTTGTTTTAATGTTTGTATTAATCTTGTGAACTATTTATTACATGAAGGAACTCATTAAGTATATTTACGTCCATTTTCATCAATTGCTTGTCTATTCATTGTTAGATATAGTACTTACAGTTGGAATGCCACAAGGATCAATTTTGAGCCACTTGGATTTTCTTTTTAATGTACCGCTCATTCGGAAAGCTGTCTCATCACAAGAAGAACAAGCAAGAAACTTGCGTGTTGCTCTTTTAAATAATTTTATTCTTGCTTTACAATTTAAGTTTAAGTGTGTGAATACAAACTACCGATTAGCACTAATTCAATTAAATAATCAAGTAGAAAAATATTGAATACACAACAACTGGTTAAACAATTAATAAGAGGAAATCAGTCATAGTGATTAGAGTAGACCAGTCCCAAAAAAATCCTTAATACTATAAAAACAATGTTCTAATAGCCAATTATAAAGTCTAGATGGGCGATAGCACCTACAGAAGAAGAATGAATATGTATTAAATTTAAATGACGCTAAGTTATAAGTCGTGTAACAGCTAGTGTAACATAATTTCTAAAAAGATAAAAAAGAAACCTTATGGTGTAAATAAAAACGGTCAGATTGCATAGTCCGTCCTCTTGACCCGTGACCGTGACGGTCACAAACCGCAGACTCGTCTGGCGGCCCGGCTGCGCTCGCCCGCTGCACATGTGGAGTTTTTGTCACTTCCGAGAACAGGCCGTACTTCGTTCTTGTCACTGCCGCTGTACATCAAAGGGTTCCAGTTATTTTGTATTTTAATTTTTGGAAGTATACATTACACTGTGTTTTTTCAGTAGCTTGGGGGCCTGATTACCATATTTAGATGAGTGTTTTCAACAGAGTTACTCTGTAAAAAGATCTTTGACAGCCTCAGTGGACTAGCAGTTTAGCTCATGATTATTTCCTATGGTCGCTGGTTCGATTCTTTGATCGATATAAATATTTGTACTCATGTGTATGATGGTTTGAATAGGTTTGGGTGTCTTCAGTTCTTTTTGGTAGTTTTTATGTTTTTTATATATTTTTGAATTTTATATTCCTGATTACCATATTTAGATGAGTGTTTTCAGCAGAGTTACTCTGTAAAAAGATCTTTGACAGCCTCAGTGGACTAGCAGTTTAGCTCATGATTATTTCCTATGGTCGCTGGTTCGATTCTTTGATCGATATAAATATTTGTACTCATGTGTATGATTGTTTGTATCGGTTTGGGTGTTTTTAGTGTATAGTATGATGCTGACGGTAACCATTTTGATAGTTTTTATGTTTTTTATATATTTTTGAATTTCATATTCCTGATTACCATATTTAGATGAGTGTTTTCAGCAGAGTTACTCTGTAAAAAGATATTTGACAGCCTCAGTGGACTAGAAGTTTACCTCATAATTATTTCCGATGGTCCCTGGTTCGACTCTTTGATCGATATAAATATTTGTATTTATTACTATGATTGTTTGCATCGGTTTGCGTGTCTTCAGTGTATGTATAGTATGATGCTGACGGCAACCTTTTTGGCAGTTTTTGTGTTTTTTATATATTTTTGAATTTTATATTTTGACCTTCTGTTTTTATATACTATGTTTTCTTAAGCCATATTCATTGTCTTTATATTTAGTGAGCTGATTACACATATTTTAGCTCACCTAGGAACGTGTCTCATTTTAAACCATCATAAAATACACTCCTTCCGCAACATAATGTAAATATGTATTGACAAAAAATGTTTCTGTGCATTTAATCAGTTTACTACTACTAATACAGTTTACCCTGAACATATTCTCAGTTTTCTATTGCGCTGTTGTCGCAACTGACGTTGAAGGATGTTTAATTTCATCTCTTTAATTCTTACGCGTTGGATTGTTATTGTATAAACAAAATTGCTTCGTGCTTTTATTTACGACTAGTTAAGACTAGTAATCAATATTGCTGAGAGTTATAAGTGTAATAAGCATGTACAATCTGGATTAAATGGATTAAAATAGTATTTAGTTTTTTGTTTCTGTCAGAAAAAAAATGCGTGATATTTGCCGATTGTTTTTTGTTTCTATCAGAAAAAAAAATGCGTGATATTTGCCGATACCCTCCCCCCCTCTCCAATATAAGATTAGATGAGATTTGACTCGACCCCCTCCCCCCCATAAACATCTCACGTAACTTATGGACGCCCCCTTACGAGCTGACTGAAATGAATTATAAACAACAAATAAACTAACTTTCCTATTTATAAAATTAAAATAATTAATATATCAACGGAATTGGAAGCGATGCACAGGTTCGTTTCAATTTGTCATCATATTGCAATATGGCCGCAAAGAGATGACACGGACGAAGAGAGAGAAACTTATCGTAACTATAACTGAAAAAAATTATAATAAAAAAAATGTGTTCATATGCGGCTAAAATGTCCTACATTAATAAATCTTCATTTAATTTGAATTTTAAGCTGGATTTCACCAATCGCAATATAAACAAGTTCAAGGAAACGGAGTTTAGTGTAAACTCGAAAAAAAGGTCGACGTTGATCTCATCTTAGCGAAAACTAGTTCAGCTTGCAGCGGTGAAATTCAATGAACTTTCTTCTTTGATTTCTTGATTCTTTGAACTCGTTTAAACGTTTTAAACGGTGTTAAGTTTGAACTAAACGCGATCAGTTTCTTGGTTAAAATCCGGCCGTAGTTTTGTATATAAATATTCTTTGCACACATTTTTAAAGCAGAGATTAGGTGTAGAATTAATCACAGACAACAGTGTACTGAAGTATTTTTAATTACCAGATAACAGTAACATAGTAATGCTAAATGTACATTCAACAATTATTTAACTAAGTACTTATTAATTTATATCAAAACTAGTCAAAAACTAAAATTGATATTCGGTAGTTTCTGATATAGCAGTGATGGAACAGATAAACAGACGTATTCATAAGGTGAACTATCTTACCCAACACTATTCCCTGCACATTGGCAGTGCAACAACATAAATCATTGCCAGACAAATCGCAAAGGAAATCCGATGAGACAAAGCACTTGGCCGTCTCCAGCCAACTTGATATATAGCGTGAATAAAAAAACAAGTCTGTTGACATATCGCGCACTCCTTGCTCATTTGCTCTTTTGGTCACTGGTGAGGTGCAAATTGCACCAACCCCTTAACAAAACGGTTGAGTGATGAGCCTACTAGGGTTGTCTACAGTAAACATTTTTTATATTTTTTTATATTTCACACAGCGCCATCCAGACCAGGGGTGTTATGGATATGAAATTTCGGATACGGATAGGTTTCGGATATAGGAATGGTTATTATACCGGATACGGATACGAATGCGGATGAAATTATTTCGGATTATCCGTTAGTTTCGGATAATTTCGATTACTTAAGGAATTTCAAAAGTAAAATACAAATAGCTAATAAAATGGTGTAACGTGTCTCAATTAGGCTCCGCCCCAATCCGATATTGTCCGAAACTTTTATTTCGGATTCGGTTACGGTTACGGATAATTTATTATATCGGATATCCGATAGTTTCGGTTACGATTACGGAGCTTCTTAACATCCCTGATCCATACACAAGTTAAGCTAGCTAAAGCTTGTGTTATAGGTACTATTACAACTGATACAAATACATAGATATATATTTTTTTATAAATACATACATATTATACATATAAAACACCCAGACCGATATAAACAATCATACTCATGAATACAAAAGTTTGTGCCGTGCGAGGAATTGAACCCGCGACCATCGGCTGGCATATATATATTTTTTTGTTACTATCAATATATATACTGCACCATCTATAAATAAATAAATATGAAATGTCTGTTCATAAATTCAAATTAATAACTTATCACTAAATGTATTATATACGGTACTCAAAATTTTTTTTTGTCTGTTAGTTTGTTCCTAATCAATTCTGAAACATCTAGATTGATTTCGACGGGACTTTCAATCGCAGATAGCTAAAGTTTCATGTAATTAATTATGTTGTATGTGATTAGGCTAACTTTATATTTGAAACTTTATTACATTTTAATATTTTTTTTATTAAAATGTAACAAAGTTTCAAATATAAAGTTCAATTATCTTATATATAAAATTCTCGTGTCACAGTTTTCGTTCCCATACTCCTCCGAAATGGCTTGACCGATTCTCATGAAATTTTGTGAGCGTATTGAGTAGGTCTGAGACCTAATTTTTTTTTATTTTAAGGCAAACAGTGTTTTCCGATACAGCTAGTATAATATAATATTATATAGTAGCTATAGCGAATATTGTATTAAGATTGTTGTGATGTGGGGCATGTACTACGAACGTATATAAAACGATTTTTATGTTTTTTAACTACCCCCTTTCCCTCAAAGTCATGTTAAAACTGGTCAAGAGGACGGGAGCCGCCTCACTGACCGTCGGAGTGGTCTCCGCGCCAGCACTCTACGGACCTCTGACCTCCTATGAACTTTGGATGATACATCCTACTCTGAGGGTCCAAAATAAGGCATTATAATATAGTGTGCTCAATATCCTTGCCAGCAGATCCGAATGGCGGCGGCATGGGCAACCCTGGCGTCGGTGGTGGTACCCAGCAGTACGGGGAGGTGAACCAACTAGGAGGAGTTTTCGTCAACGGTAGACCTCTGCCCAACGCGGTCAGATTAAGGATTGTAGAGCTGGCACAGCTGGGCATCAGGTGAGTCCATCTATACACATAATTAAAATTGGAGTGTCAGTAAAATTGAAATTATCGGTCGATTATTATTTCGGAAGCCCTGCTAACAATAATAATAATCTCAGGACAGTTCACACAGCACTAGCCGTGGTCACGAGCTGACTGGAGTAACAGCGATGTCAATGTAGATAGGTGACAGCAGTTTTTTCTTCATCTACCGTCACTAGATTGTTTAACGAAAGTTCGCGACACACAGCACTCACGGTATCCGTACACTTATTGACTATTGATGCTACTGAACTTTGCTTGCATTTATTTATGATGGAATGTGGTAGATGAATAAAAAACTGCTGTCACCTATCTACATTGACATCGCTGTTACTCCAGTCAGCTCGTGACCACGGCTAGTGCAACCTAGTCGAAACGTCGAGAGAGGTAAATACCTTTATTTGCCATAAAATTATTCGTGTTAAGACCCGGTTAACAGCGTCATCTAGACCCAAGTTAAGCCAGCTGAAGCCTGCGTTATGGGTACAAGACAACTGATACAAATATTTATGTTTTCATAAATACATACATACATAGAAAACGCCCAGACCGCCACAAAATCATACTCATGGATATTAATGCCTGTGCCGTGCGAGGAATCGAACCCGCGACCATCGGAAGTAAGACAGTATGCCAAACCGTTCAGGCCGTCTCATACTTCTTTTGGATCAGATTATCGACCACTGGTTAGGCTATTTCCTTTTAATAAAATTGCAATAGCTTATACTGAAGGTCATTCTATACTTCTAATTTGAACTTAAAAAGAAATCTGCTTTTTGTAGACATGTAGGTACTAGAACATTTGAAAGGAAAAAGAGCTGAGTTTCCTGTGACTTCTAAACTCGAAAGCACTCCGAACTGACGGTAGATTTGACATATCATAAGAGTCTGTGATAGATCTACTTGAATAAACATATTTTGATATTGATTAATTTGTTTATGATGAGTATGAAGTCAGGTACGTTACCACATCGAGGCGAGTTCTCTAAAAAAAATGGATGTTTTCTGGGGAGGACCCCGTGGAGGTCAACCTCACACGGTACACTGCTAGCTATATGGTCTCTACACCAAAACTAACAATCCCTTTACCCCTTCTTCTGCATGTTTGCGAGAGTGCTACTCCATAACTCATCGTCACCGATTTTATTTGAATAAATAATAATAATAATCTCAGGACAATTCCCACAGCGCCATCTAGACCCAAGTTAAACTAGTTAAAGCTTGTGTTATGGGCAATATAACTGATACAAATACATAGATTTTTTTTCGTAATTACATACATAATACACATAGAAAATACCCAGACCGATACAAACAATCATATTCATGAATACAAATGTTTGTGCCGTGCGAGGAATCGAACCCGCGACCATCGGACGTAAAGCGGTGTGCTAAACCGCTAGACCACCGAGGTCGTCGTAAAGATTATTTCTATTTCTTTTCCTATTTATTAAAATATGCAATTGAGAGTCTTGCCAGTTATTCTCAATTGGATCTATGTACTTTACTGGACGGTAGGGGAAAAATATAATCTATATTAATAATTTCGTCAAGGAGTATGGTAGACTCGAACGAAACCTTATGTGAATAACAGAACATAAAAAAATATTGATTTCGAGTCGACAACATATATCCGCAAAATTCGGATTATGGAGTATTTCGTTAAATTCTAATGACACTGACAAACAAACCGCAGTCGCCATCTTTTCATTTCACTAGCGTTTTCTTCGATCGTTGACGTTTCGCGAAAATATTGTTTTTGACACTTTTTTATGATAAAGTATGTGTTTTTTCTTTAAACCTGAAATTGGCCGATTGCGAGACAAATTTGGCATTTTTTTTATTAATTTGTGTTACGGCTCTGGATACAAGTTCTTTTTAGCCCAACTTAAAGTTTTACAAAAAAATAAAAATTATTTGTATAAAAACTTTTGCACTTTTTATTTACTACATTTATTAAACACAATGAACGAAGCTTTACAAATCTATGCCTTGCTTACTTTTAATATTCCATGAGAACCGATGACTACAGAAATATCTACCCACATTTCACCCGAGCGAAGCCGGGATTTCATCTAGTATAAAAAAATTTACGTTCATAAGCGGCTAAAATGTCCTACATGAATAAATGATTTTTGAATATGAATTTGAATGTTTAATAACATATATTTTCAGGTAATTGGTTTTACTACAATCGACGACCTCGGTGGTCTAGCAGTTTAGCACACCGCTTTACGTCCGATGGTCGCGGGTTCGATTCCTCGCACGGCACAAACATATGTACATGAATATGATTGTTTGTATCGGTCTGGGTGTTTTCTATGTACGATATGTATGTATTTACGAAAAAAATATCTATGTATTTGTATCAGTTATCTAGTACCCGTAACACAAGCTTTAGCTAGCTTAACTTGTGACTAGATGGCGCTGTGTGAAATGTCCTGAGATTATTATAGATTATAATATTTATTGTTATATAGGCCTTGCGACATCAGTCGACAACTGAGGGTATCCCACGGCTGCGTCTCCAAGATCCTGGCGCGCTATCATGAGACCGGCTCCATTCTGCCGGGCGCCATTGGAGGCTCCAAGCCCAGAGTCACCACACCCAAGGTACTAATTAAATACCTTTTTATATTTAGGCTGAAGTATATGAGTCTTCACGAGTTGATCCATGGAATTCAATATCATCATCATCATCATCATCGCAGACCGGAAGACGTCCACTGCTGGACATAGGCCTCCCCCAAAGATCTCCACGACGATCGGTCCTGCGCTGCTCGCATACAATGCCTTCAATTCAAATAGAATTCAAAGGATGAAAGAAGAATTCAAACGCCCTTGTACATTACATTTATTCTGTATAATTTTTTTTTATTATGTGTGTGTGTACAATAAAGAATAAAGAAATCAATAATATTTACGTAAATGTATAGATACTTTAGTTAGGGGGCGTCCATAAATTACGTGAGATGTTTTTCTAATTTTCTGTCCTCCCCCCCTGGTGAGATGTCGTGAGATTTTATTCAACCCTCTCTCCCATCCCTCAATCTCACGTGAGATTTTTCAAAATGTGTTATTCTTACGTAAACGCGATAGATTGTTATTGTAAAAAGACAAAAAAATGCTTGGTGCTTTTATTTACGACTAGTTAAGACTAGTAATCAATATTGCTGAGAGTTATAAATGTAATAACCATGTACAGTCTGGATTAAATGGAGCAAAATAGCATATATATTTTGTTTCGATCAGAAAAAAAATTGCGTGATATTTGCCGAGCCCCCCCCCCCCCTCGACCCCCCCCTCCTCCTCCCTCTCTCCAACGTAAGATTAGATGAGATTTGACTCGACCCCCTCCCCCCCCTAAACATCTCACGTAATTTATGTACGCCCCCTTATGTAACCTACAGTGAAGACAACATATAAGCAATGTAATAAAAAACATATGTTAAGGTTATATCAGTAGAGTGTATGTACATAATAATGTAACATTTATTCGTATCTAAAACATTATAAACGTATATATACGTTTATAATCTTATTAATATTCAATTATAGTAAGAGATACTCATGATTATAATAACAGATAGTCATACTCGTGAACGGGTGCTGCTTGTGGGGACTGGTCTGTTCAGGTTGCGAACACTGATTAGATTTTTTGATTTTTTTTATATAGCATATGCTGGTGGTCACTCTATTCTCCCAAATTTGAATTTAAATGAAATAGTATTATTGTAAATATGTACAACATTAAAAAAAAATACGAGCTGAGTTTCTTATCAGTTCTTCTCATCTCGAAATCATTCCGAACTGACGGTAGATTTGACATATCATAAGAGTCTGTAATAGACCTACATGAATAAAGATATTTTGAATTTGAATTTGAATTAAATTTGATACACAAAAAAATATCTGTGGTGCTGTTGAAGAACAGCTACCACCTACCATAAGGTAAAGTACCTACCGTAGTAAAAATAATTTCAATTCCACTTACATTTAACCGTTGCAGCGCAGGACCGATCGTCGTGGAGATCGTGGGGAGGCCTATGTTCAGCAGTGGACGTCTTCCGGGCTGCGATGATGATGATGATGATGAATCGTAGTAGTAGACATAAATCAGAGTATCTCGTCTTCTTGCAGGTGGTATCATACATAAAGCAGCTGAAAGCGAAAGACCCTGGTATTTTCGCGTGGGAGATCAGAGACCGGCTCCTGGCAGACGGGGTCTGTGACAAGTACAACGTGCCGTCAGTGTCCAGCATCAGCAGGATCTTGAGGAACAAGCTGGGCGGAGGGGCCCTGTACCCCGTGCCTCCACTGTACCCTGTACCTCCCCAGAGATGCTGGCCATTGCATCAACCGTATGACTACTATGTTTATCTGCAGGTGAGATAATCTATATACATATAAATAAAATTGTAGTGTCTGTTTGTAATATAGAAATAGTTTTTTACTACATGCATATGAATATAAATACGGTACACCAAAATAATTTTTTTACTATTTTTGTCTATCTATCTGTTTTTTCCGGGTAATCTCTGAAATGGATGGACCGATTTTGACGACTTTTATTGGCAGATAGCTGATGTAATAAGAAGTAACTTAGGCTATACTTTAGAAAACTAAAGTTAAATTCCACGCAGACGAAGTAGCGGGTACAGTTGGTAATAATAATAACATTGAGAAAGTATTAGAGTTACTTCACCAGTATCTCTAAATATAATAGTTTAGAACTAGATGGCGCTGTGTGAATAGTCCTGTGTTATTATTATTGGCCTCGGTGATTTGGTATACCGCTTTACTCCCGAAGGTCGCCCTTCATATTTATATTCTTGAGTATAATTCTTTGTATCGGTCTAGTGTTTCCTATGTATATTATATGTATTTAAAAAAAATGTCTAAGTATTTATATCAGTTGTCTTGTACCGCTAACAAAAGATCTGGGGATCGATCGGAGCGGGGTAGTAAAGCAATGTGCTAAACCACATTAACGAGATCGTTAAATTAGAATACCGAATTGTTTTGAGAATGTACGCCATCCATAAGCCAGGCGATAAGCCAGGACAATTCAATCTTATCCCGAGCTAAGCAGATTTGACAGTCAGATGTATAACGTGGAAGTATGAACGAAATTATTTTCATTCGAACGAATTAGTGAATGAACTTAATCATATTACATTTACGCTTAAGATTAAATCTTAAGCATGTACAATCTGGATTAAATGGACCAAAATAGTTTTTTTTTTGTTTCAATCCGAAAAAAAGTTGCGTGATATTTGCCGAGACCCTCCTCTCTCCAACTTAAGATTAGATGAGATTTGACTCGACCCCCTCCCCACCTTAAACATCTCACGTAATTTATAGCCCCCTAACTATGTAATTGATAATGGTATGTTAAACCAGTTAATCATAACTCACGTGGAGGTTAACCTAAAAACCTTGTCATATTTATACTTACAAGCGTAAAAGAGAGTACACACAATGGAAGGTAATGGCTTATAATTTTCTGTATGTACTTTCAACAGTACAATTATAATAAGAGATATATATTTCCAGGGCCGGCAGCACGCGGCAGGCAACCCTCACGCTCTGCCACACCCTCACCAGCAGCCCCCGCCGCACCACACGCACGCTCTCTGACGCCACCCCCACCCCGCCACCAACCATGACCGGTGAACACCACCACGTGGAATACGGGACCACACGAGAACCACATGAGGGAAGAGTAACAGTGGTATATAATAACGAGGTACTCGTAAGTGGCATGATATTCCTGATCCTGGATTTCTGGATGGATGGCGGTTCTCCACCGAACTTCTTTATAGAATTTTTTGCCACGTCATATCACAGAAGAGAAGAGTAGGTAACAGTGGTCTATCATAACGATGTACTCATAAGTGGCATGATTCCTGATCCAGGATTCCTGGATGGATGGCGGTCTTCTACCTTACTTCTTTGTAGAAAATTTTTGCCAGGTTTTATCACAGAAGGAAAGAGTAACAGTAATCTATCATAGCGAGGTACTCGTAAGTGGCATGATTCCTGATCCTGGATTCCTGGATAACAGCCAGTCCTCCACTTTACTTCTTTATAGAAAATGTTTACCATGTCATGTGGAATCACTTCCCAGAAACGATATTTCCGAAAAGATTACGATATTGAAATTATAAAAACAATTGAACATGCTACGTCATTGAGACATCATCTCCCAGCAGTGGTATTTCCGATACGATGTTAAAATCCTCAAGAGGAGATCTTATCCATCCTTAAGAAGCTGGCAATGCACTACGACATTGAGAAACTCATCCTAGCAATAGCATTTCCGAATATTATATTGAAATGCCCAAGAAGAGAGCTCATTCATCTTTAAAAGACCCTGCAACTCATCTACAAACCCCCTAGGTGGTCATGGACGGTGGTAATCACATACCTTCAGGCGAGCCGCAAGTTAGTTTACTATACTATCAAGAAATCGATGACAATGTACGTGGTATAAATGATTTAAGAAATCAGGTGTAAAGTGGTTATTGAAAATAATGTAGTATTGGAAAGGAGCAAAATGATAGTGTTGGAATGTATAGAGTTATATCAGGTGATGATAATTTTTATTTAGCTCCTGAAAACTCACAAACAGTGAAGTTCAGTGACATGTGTGACGAAATGACATTAAGAATATTATTGAAAGTATTATTTGTGTAAATAAGAATGTGTAAGATATTAGTTCAGTAGGTAGATATTATTAAGCATAAGAGAATAATGTATAAATTTAAATTAAACATACATACCTTCACGCAGTGGCTTTAGGGGGTGCTGAATAGGGCAATAGGGGCCTCGATTTTGCAGAGGACTTGCTTAACAACCAAAGCAAGTTTTAAACAACCTTGCCCTGCCTTGCCTTGGCAAGGTGCAAAAATTTCCCGAATTTTCGAGCCATTTAATCGCAAATGAACAAAATTACCAACACTAAAATATACAATTAAAAAAAATGTAAAAATAATCTTGAATTAGCGGAAAATTCCCGCCTTTGAATTATTTGGCCTCGGTGGTTTAGCGATAACGCACATCGCCTTACTTCCAATCGTCGCGGGTTCGATTCCTCCCACAGTACAATTATTCAGGACTATGATTGTTTGTATCGCTGGGTGTTTTCAATGTATTTAAAAAAATGTATCTATGTATTTATATCAGTTGTCAAGTACCTATAACACAAGCTCTGCTTAGGTTGAGACTAAATGACTCTATGTAAGTTGGCCTGAGATTATTATCTATTAAAAAGAAAAATTGATCACCATAGAGTCGTAAAGTTTCCAATAGTGGTTAGATTTCCGCACTGAACATTTGTGATCTCACACGTCCGAATTAAACAAAATAAATCATTAACAATTAACATATACACTAAAGTAAGATTATTAATTCCAGTCAGTAAAAGTGCAACTGTCACTGATACAAAAAAGAGTGACCCGCTACAGTAGTGATGTTCCGCAATCAATAGACTTAGACGTTTAGTCATGCTTTATTTTATTAGGTATATAGACCTTTTTTTTTAATGTTAAATAATTAATACATACCGTATTAAACAATACGATTTTAGAAATATGGACCTTACCAGCATATTAAAATTTCTCACTACAACATTATTACAAAAGCTGGGAAAAAATTTAAAAAGAGATTCAGAGGAATTAATACTAGAATTTTTATTTGTATAAAGGCAATTTGATATTGAATAAAAAAAATGTAATCTCGACTAACTTTTAATTGTAAAAACTCGATTCTATCACATCACTATTTATGTGGGGATAAAAACCTGCAACACTGGAAATGTCATTTTACTTTACTGTACATTTTGAAATAATTTTAGTTAATTGAGAGCATGTCCAAAGCTCTCTTATCACTTTTACTACTTTCCCATTGCTTTGTCGCCTGCGTATATCTTTAAATGTCTATCTCATTATATTATATTGAAATAGATGTTATTTTGCGGAAGTCCACTACATTACTTAAGGGACTTATATCTCTTTAATTACGCTACTATGATGGCCTCAATCGGAGTGTAGTCGTTGAACAGTCAACACTATACGAACTCTATTCATTGCCTAATGATGCCTCGTTCAGAGCCGAAACACATGTTTTAATAGTGTAAAATCAATAACTCGGAATTTGCACGGTAATGGGGAAGACGCTTCCAGATGCAGTGGTCAGGTTTTCGCTCTGAACATTTGTGGTCTCACACATGCTAATGGTAGTGTAATCTATACATCTATACATATAAATAAAATTGGAGTGTCTGTTTGTAATATTAAAATAACCGTTTTTTACTACATGCATATGAATATAAATTCGGTACATACAAAAAAATAACATATTTTATTATTTTTGTCTGTCTATTCATCTGTTTATTCCGGCTAATCTCAGAAATGGCTGGACCGATTTTGACGGGACTTTTTTTGGTAGGTAGCTGATGTAATAAGGAGTAACTTAGGCTACTTTTATTTTAGAAAAAAAGTTAAATTCCACGCGGACGAAGTCGCGGGAACTGCTAGTTAAAAATATAAGTACAGTAAGCAATATCTCAGCTATTTGAACTGTGAGGCATCTTCCGTGGAAGTTCGTGTTACATTTTGGAGGGTATGCCAGTGAAATTCCTGTGTATTTCTCTGCATACCACGTCAGTCCTCTGGAACAATTACGAGGAAACACGGGCATTACAATGTACTCTCCAACACATTAGCTTCGTCATCATTTTCCATCCAGTGGGCCGGTTTGTCATTCCATTCATTTCTGTATACTTATTTTATTAGTCAAATTATTATATACATCTACCTACATTTTTATATGTATTTCAAGAAAATTGTGTATAAAAACAACACTATTTTATAGTTACATATATGTAGTTATTAGAGGAAGGTGACCAAATATAATAATAATAATAATAATCTCAGGACAATTCACACAGCACCATCTAGACCCAAGTTAAGCTAGCTAGAGCTTGTGTTATGGGTACTAAATAACTGATACAAATACATTGATATTTTTCTTTTGTAAATACATACATATTATACATAGAAAACACCCAGACCGATACAAACAATCATACTCATGAATACAAATGTTTGTGCCGTGCGAGGAATCGAACCCGCGACCATCGGACGTAAAGCGGTGTGCTTGACCGCTAGACCACCGAGGTCGTCAAATAGTATAGTATCTTAATATGGAATACGTCCATTTCTCAAAACTGCGAATTCACACATTTAAATAGACAGTGATTTTCTATCCCTTTCTATTCCCATTTACGCATATAGAAAAATATAAATTATAGAATGTCAATCATTCGTCGTTGTGACAGTGTTTTGTTTTATCGCTACCACAAAGTTTCTAAGTTATGAAAAAAATCTAAATATTTCACGTACAGACAGTCCACACAGTATGGTTTTTATAGCCATATATATATTTATGTACATAAATATAAAAATGTGTATGTCAGTTGGAAATCATTGGAAAATCCAAATATGGACAGATTACTTGACGACCTCGGTGGTCTAGCGGTTTAGCACACCGCTTTACGACCGATGGTCGCGGGTTCGATTCCTCGCACGGCACAAACATTTGTATTCATGAGTATGAATGTTTGTATCGGTCTGGGTATTTTCTATGTATAATATGTATGTATTTACGAAAAAAAAATTATCTATGTATTTGTATCAGTTATTTAGTACCTATAACACAAGCTTTAGTTAGCTTAACTTGGGTCTAGATGGCGCTGTGTGAATTGTCCTGAGATTATTATTATTATTATTAATCAATATAACCTAATATTTTCACAAATTAAGTACAAATATACGACTGTTAATAATTACCACAAAAAGTTTTTTTTTTATACAAGATTTGTGGAAATTATGCGTAAAAATCAAAATGGTATTCCATATTTGGTCACTTTCCTCTGTACATACTTATATATATTATGTAGAATAAGTTGGGTGCAATGATGTAAATATCTTTATTATACTTAGGAATCAATTACTATATCGGTAGGTACTTAAAGTTATACATTTAAGTAGACATAACGTGTGTAGTCGTAATGGTTTGTGTGTCATTATCATATAGTCTGTACAAATATTTATATGTCCCATAATTTTAGTTGGTTAATATCACGAATCTATTTCTTTGAAATAAATTGGTTTGTTTAAATTGCTGCATTTTCTTTATTTTGACATCCTGAGAATGTAGTGATGTGGAAACACTAGCGGTTTATTCAGCTATGGTTATGTGGGCGTGCACCGTCATCCTGTTTTATTCAGTATTCCGGTATCCAGGACCAAATTACTAAAATATTCACCTGTAACCTGTGCTTTAGAGATACTAAACAATATGAGAAATGATATTGATATTTTTTATTGTAGTCTGCCGAAAATCATAGAAGTCATTCAAAAGTATCTAGAATTTTTATAACGTTTATATTATATAATAAAATATGTTATCTAGTAAATTTATATATATATGTGTATACTAAGTTGCAACACCGATTTACATAAACTGTAATGGTGTTGTAATATTGAAATGAATAAATAAAAAAAAAAATTGTCGTCTCGTGCTGAGCGTACACGGGCCGCCGTGCGCAAGTAAACACGTGGGGCTGTCGCTAACGAGCCGATATTATATCGATAACAACTTACATACCAGGAGATACAAAAAGATATAAATAAGAAATATGTGAACACTATAGTAAATCTAAATATTTCCCATTTACAAAACACCTTCTGGTGGTGGTATTACTTTAAAATGACTGTCTGAAAGTTGGTTAAGTATATATGCACAGATAATCTGTACTGCACTGTATAATCTGCACAGATAATACGAAAAAGAAAAAATATTAATACAAAAACTTCACGTTCATAAGCGGCTAAAATGTAGTATACCTAATATACAACAAATAAAAGTAATTTAATTTTTTTTTGTTCTGTTTATCTTTTAAAGGAAAGGCAAATGGAACTGCGCTCATACAGCCAATGATTTGATTTGTTTTGGCTTATAGACCTTGTTTATTATTTAGAAAATAAAATCGAGTAGGTATTGGGTACAGAGGTTAATAGTACTCAAGAACAAAAATGCC